AGAACAAAATAGTTTCTCATTAAACAGTACACATGTTGCCCTATGACAGTGGTTAACAACCTCACAACACATCAACACTGTCCTTACTCAACCTTGGGTTCCCTATCACCAGCTTTCCTGTCCCCTTCTGGCTTCTAGCCCTTGTCCCTGGACTGCTGTGTCTCATTAGTCCCGTTTATGGGGCTGTCCAATCCCCTGCTGAATGGTGAACCTCAAAAGTGACTTCACCACTGAGCTAAAAGGGTGTCTGGGGGCCGTACTCTCGGGGTTTCTCCAGTCTCCTCCAGGCCAGTAAATCTGGTCTTTTTTTTGTGTGTGTTAGAATTTTGTTCTACATCTTTCTCGAGCTCTGTCCAGAACCCTCTGTTGTGATCCCGGTCAGAGCAGTCAGTTATTGCTTAAAACACTTTCATGACTTCCAAATGCTTTTAACATTGACCTTAATATGGCCTAGAAGGTCTTGAGTGGTCTGCCCTTGCTTGTATTATGGCCTCATCTCACACTTAACTCAAACTTTCTCTTTTTCTAGTTACACACGTCTTTTAGTTCCTCTGATTTGCCAAGCTCCTCATATGAGATCTTTCATATGCTACTCCCTCTGTCTGGAATGCTCTTCTCTCCCTCCATTTCCCTGTCCTTAAGTGACTCTTAATTTTTCTTCTAATCTCAGCTCAATCATTCTTCCAGGGAATATCCTCCTTAGTATACAATCTCATAGTACTGTGGACCTCTTTTCATATCACTTGTCATAGTTGTAATTTTTTATTTACTCATGTGATTCTTCTTCCTCAACTGTTACTTTCTTTATGCTGACCGTTTTCTCCAGCCCCTAGTATAATATCACGCACATGTTAGATATTCAAAAAATATTTGTTGAATGAATGAATGAAAAAGTAGAAGAGTAGGGCTCTGGGTGTTTTTGTTCTTCTTATAATCCTAGAATTTTAGATGGAGGTGTAACCTTAGAGATTATAAAACCCAATGCCCTCATTTTAAAAAGGAAACTGAGGCATAAAGAGCATAGGGCCCTATGCTGACTGTGTGTTAGAGCCAAGTCTTAAAAATCCTGACACTTAATCCAACATTCTTTCCATTAGACCCATTGCCAGAGTACAGTAAAAGAATATCTGTGTATATTAAGCTTATGTGTTGGACCAGGCTAAAACCATGCTATGAAGAGAGAGATTATTCAGGATGTGTCTGGCTTCCTGTTGTTTTCTTGGCATTCAGCACAAAGTCTGCTACCTAGTAGACTCTGATTCTTATGTATTAAATGACAAAAAAGGAAGGCAGATAGAAGGAATCTGTTGATAAAGCAACTTCCTGCTTATAAAGAACGTGTTTACATTTCAATAAAAAATAGTTAATAAATGAAAGGTCAGAGTGCCTAGCACCTAGTAGGTATCCAATAATTTTTTGTTCAGTATGAATCTAAACTATTGCTGTTATATAATGAATGATTTTCTTTTTCTTTCAGAAGAAAATAGTGAAGAAATATATGAGGATGTCTATAATACAAAGAGCAACGACCCAAAGATAGAGTGAGTCTCTCTCTTCCTTACCTTTGTAGGCTAATGGTATTTCTTGTTAGTCTAGGAAAACCAAAGTTTAAGAAACGACCTATCCCCCACCTTCCCTCTGTCCTTTAGGTAGGATTTGAACGGAGCGTGGTAATGAGCTGTTGTAATACTACATTGTGATCAATAGTATACTTGTAATTTTGTAGAACCATATGCAATAAATTTTCAATAACATTGCTTTCTCTTTTGAGAACATTTCCGTTACCCAGAGTAGAGGAAGTTGATATTGTGTTAGGAAGCAACTGAGAAAGGAGAAGTAAAAGATATCAGTAAAACTTGCTTCAGTTTTATAAGTGCTTCTCTAGGAACAAGTCAATGTTTATGACTTAACCATTGGTTGGCAGGTTAATAAAGCTGTCTCTGGAATTTGGACTTAATTTAATATCTAGTAATTCAGTGTTATCAAGAATAATATTTACTAAAATAGACTTTATTCATCAAGGTTAGTTATTAAAGGCACGTTGTGGAAAGGAAGACTGCAATGGTCAAAAATAAAAAGTTTTGAGAGTTGAGGGGAAAAGAGGAAACTGTGAGCTAGGTTGGCTTCCCGGGTGGCTGGATGATATGGATGTATCACTCCCTCCCCCCACCAAAAAAAATTCCAAAAGCATATTTAGAAGAATTTTAATCATCACCTGGGGAGTCAATGTATCACTGTCATTGTATTATCATTCAACAAATTAAAAATCAGCGATGTGAATTTCAGAAGACAGAAATTGCTATAATGCATTTCTAGTACAGTTTGTAAACTATGCTACCCTGAGTTACCTTCTCTTCTAAAGGGAAGTCTTTGCTCCATAAGCTCTGCGAAACAGGGGGAGATGAAAGTTTGTATTAAAATATAATTACTTCCTTCATAGCTGACTGTGTTTGCTACTTCATATAAGACTCTAAACAAAGGGGAAAAGAACAGAAGCTGATAAGGCATTTCCTTGTCCTTCCTTGAGGGGATGTGTTTTGGAAATGAGACTGAAGCTTCTGGTTTTTTTTAGTACAACAGCTTTTCATATCTGGGACTCTCTCAAACGCCCTGTTATTTATATCCTCTGATTCCTCTTAGTTTAGATGGAAACGAAGCACTTAAAAGACTGCGGCAATTCTTCAAGAAAGAAAAGGATAGATTTAAAATGAAGAAAGACAAGTCTAAAGAAAATTTAAGGTAAAGTGTCCCTTTTTATCTCTTTCCAGGAGAGGGCTAACAGTGCCAGCCTGGTAGTTACACGGCTAATGTTCTCCATCCTGTTCTGAGGAACCAAAAACCAGTTGCCTTTGAGTCATTTCCAACTCGTGGTAACCTAATGTGTGTCAGAGTAGAACTGTGCTCCATAGGGTTTTCAATGACTGATTTTTCAGAAGTAGTTGGCCAGGACTTTCTTCCAAGGTGCCTCTGGGTGGACTTGAACCTCCAGCTTTTCAGTCAGCAGCCCAGTTTATTGACCGTTTGCACCACCCAGGAGCTCCATTCTCAGAGAATATCAGAAAGTAAACCAAAAGCCCTGGTTGTCACCTGCCTCCTTCATGCTAATTTTTGAGTATATCACACCCACAGATACTAATGAAAAAGTGACAAGTCCCTTTTGAAAAGCTTAATGAGGATGGTTGTAAATAGAGGCATAGGGAAAGTATTAATTAAGCAAATCCAGAAAATAAATTTTCCTCATCATCTTTATCATATATTCCTGTAGATAATAATCAGAGAACATACCTTCTTCTTGTAATCACTAAGCATTATGTTATTCTGGTAATCACATTCTTTTATGCTTTCTTAGCCCTACAAGTTCCAGTGGTTTCATTTGGCTACGCTTCCATATTCTAATTTGCTTCTCTTGAAAGCAGCAATGTGTGGAGGGGGAGATGAAGTTTTCAGCTGAATGGTTCACATATTTCAAAGTCTTAGACCTAGAAGGGACCCTCCAAGATCACCTAGGCTAACGGCTAGTCTTTGGGGAGATTACAAATTTAGCAGCAGTTGAAAGAGATGGGAAGCCTGATTTTAGACTCTAGTCTCAGCTCTGCCATTTATTCAGTGTGCAGCCATGGGCAAATCACTTCGTTTTCTACCTATGGGGCCCAGTTTTCTCTTGATTACAATGGTAGAGAGACTGGGTGACCTCTGAAGGTACTTTTTTTCTAATACATGTAGACATATACATAGATATGTATTTTATAATCAGGAAATGGAGTACAGTGGATGGTAAAATAATCTGCCCAAGGTCATTTGATATATTGAGATGTTATATGACCTTTAAGTTCTTTTCAATTATAAAAGTTCAAAATTATGTGATTTTAAGTTCAACTGCCTGTTGGATCTAGCTCTACCAAGAGCTCCACTAGAACGTGGTGTTTATCAGCGGAGTCCTGATGATGGAAGAAGAGGGAGTTTAGCTCCACAGTTCAGTGAGACCTACACACAAAGGCAGATCCCAGCCTAGGCAGGTTAGATGCTTTCTGGCAGAGATTTTTAGAGCTAATAAGCTGAAGTCCCTTAAAATTTAAATCAAGGTAAGGATGCTGATGTTTTTAAAATGCAAATCTTGTTTCCTTTTACTTAATATTATTAAGCAATATCTTACAACTTTTAGAACAAATATCACATTTTTTTTCATGGTAAGTAAATACTATTATGGCTGTCCCCTTTCTGCTCCTAGTTCTCACCACCACCTCATACACATACCCTGCAAATTCCTGACTATGCCATGGTGTTTCATGCCTCCTTGCTTTCATCATGACATTCCGTTAGTCTGGAATGCACCTCTCCCAGCTTTCTTTGATTATCAAAGTCCTAGTCTTCCCCCAAAACTTGGTCAGATAGCTTCTGGGAAGCCTTACCTGAACCTTTCTACTCAAATCCAGATTATCTTTCTCTCCTTTGTGTTACCATAACCCTGTGCTCTTCTTGTAAAACTCTTGATATTACTGAGAAACTCTCTTTCTTAGAGTATCTCAGAGTAAGAAAGGAAATCCGCATTACCACATTACCCACTACCCAACTTCTCTGCAAGTTACCTAACAAGCAGAACTTCCATGCTGCACACCTCTATAGAAGAGAAATATACTACCCATAGAAAAGATCCTCCATTTTTAAGAAGCTCTATTAAAATTCCCTTAAATTTTACCCAAATCTACCTCTCTACTTTAATTTTTCAATTAACAGCATGCAAATAGGCCAATATAACAAAGAGTTCTTTTTTCTTTTAAAGACCAGAACTCCTCTCTTAAATAGCAACCATAATGTATTGAGTTATCTTCAGAAGGAGGCTGAAACCATGAAAATATGATATTTAAGAAGAGTAAGGGGTCTCAGTCCTCTCTGTCTGCCTGTCTCTGTCTCTTTCACACACACACACACAGTACTGCCTATTGGGGTAGTCATTAATAAGTGACATTATTTAGGCATTAAAAAAAAAGTTGCCCCTGGATTCTCTATCAGCTCAGAACTAAAACAATTTCTGAGGCCAACTCTTCAGACACGGATTGTACTGGACTGTGGGACATAAAGTGATACTCGTGACGAGTGATACTCGTGCTCAAGTAGATACAAGAGACTAAATGGGCAGTTTCTCTCCAGAGGTGAGATGCAAAGGCAGAGAGGGCTAGGAGCTGATTGAATGGACATGAGGAATCAGGGGTGGAAAGGAGGAGTGTGCTGTCACAGTATGGGGAGAGCAATTAGGGTCTCATAACAATGTATGTATAAATTTTTGTATGGGAGACTAACTTGAAAAAAAGTTGCCACTGAGTCAGTTCCAACTCATGGTGACGCCATATGTTGCTGAGTAGACTCCATAGGGTTTTCTTCTGAGGCACCTCTTAAAAAACCCATTGCCCATAATGACTCATACCAACCCAGTAAGACAGAGTAGAATTTCCCCGTAGGGTTTCCAAGGACTGGTTGGTGGATTCGAACTGCTGACCTTTTGGTTAGCAGCCAGATGCTTAACCACTGCACCACCAGGGCTCAAACCACCAACCTTTCAATTAGTAGTTGAGTGCTCAACCGTTTTTGCCATGCCACCAGTCTTAGCTATGCTTTGAGTTTTACATGGTAATTATATGTTAAACCCCTTCTTACTCCCTCTATTCTGGGTGTACTGATCTCCTTGCTCTTCTTTAAATAGACCAAGCACACTCTAGCCTACATTTGCTATTTCCTCTCCCGGGGAACACTCTTACTGCAAATATCCACGTGGCTCACTCCCTTACTTATCTTCAGGTCTCTGCTCAAAAGTCATCTGATAAGTGAAGCCTTCCCTGACAATCCTCTGTAAAATGGTGTGATGGTTAAGGTTGTGTGTCAACTTGGCTGGGCCATGATTCTCAATGGTTTGGCAGCCATATGATGTTGTGGTCATTTCCATGAGGGAATCTGCTGTGAGTAGCCAATCAATTGAAAGAGAGTTCTTTCTGGCCCTTGGCGTGCATCAGGTATAAGTGGACATTCTAGCAAGGCTTCTGGTGGGCTTTTTGCTTGCGCTGCATCCTGAGGCTGGCTCCTGTTCTTCTGACCTCCAATTCTTGGGACTTGAGCTAGCAACTTACCTGTGGTCTTGCCTGCTGATCTTGGGATTCATTGGTCTTCCCAGCCTGTGAGCAAGAGCCCTACTCTCTGACCTGCTGATCTTTGGTTCACCAGCCCCTGTGGCTGCCTGAATCAGAAGAAGCCTCTATCCTGACCCATGGACTTGGGATATTCCAGCCTCTACAACTGCGTGAGCCATTTCCTTGATATAAATCTCTCTCTATATATATTTATATGCGTTACTGATTTTACTTTTCTAGAGAACCCAGCCTAAGACATTTGGTACTGAGAGTGGTTCTAGAGAAACAAAATTTCAAGGATGAGTTTTCTAAATTGGTTGTCAAATTCTGGTTATTCTTAAAGATGCTGATGACTCTGCTTCCAGTAGTAAAGACGGTACTGCTAATCCATGACGTGAGGTGGCAATACAAATATACAAAATACCACCACCAATAGATCAGGTATTGGTGAAAGGTGAGGCTCTGGGTGATTGCATGTGTGATACCTTTCTACAATTTTGTCATAATGAGAAGTATAAGGAAGCTGGTTGGTTGGTCCTACTTTCCCTAGACAAACTGGTGAAAGAAAGAGGTGCACTCAGGGCTTCAGAGTCAAAACTCAAGTGCTGCATAAACGACCTCAAAGTTTCCACTCGTGCTTTGAAGGAAAGCCTTATTTCTTGTAGTAACAGAGCTGAAATTGCTGAAAACCAAACCCAGAGTCTTATCGTAAGAGCGGCTGCATTACAATACCAACTCAATTGCCAACTCAAGAGGTGTCTGAAGTTAAAGTGAGGGCATTGATTGGTAAGAAATGGGATCCTGAAACTTGGGATGGGAACATATGGGCAGATAATCAGGAGGCTGGAGACACTGAGCTCCTAAATTCTGTTGAATCACTCCTTCCAACAGAACCAGCCCTCTCACTCCCATCTGAAGAGATTACTCCATGTTTGTCTGCTAAGCCACCTTCCCCAGTAAAACCATTTGCCCCTCCACCCCCATCTAATGAAATTAACCTAGCTGTGTCTAAAGAGTTCTTGTCTGAGTCCTTGCTTGGGGCATCACCTGAGGCAGACGCTTTACAAGACAATGCTGCACATTCTCAAAACAATTCACCACTACTGATTTTGACTTCTAGATCTATAACTAGACTTAAGTCTTAGCCATCCCCAAAAGGCTTAGGGCATCACCTTATAAGACATTGATGAATGTCCTCAGGGCCCTTGCCCACCACCTATTTTTGCTTCTAGACATATAACTAGACTTGAGTCCCAGCAAGCCCCAAAAGGTGAAATACAAAGTGTGACCCAGGAGGAGGTAAGTTACACTTGAAAAGAACTGCTTGACTTTTCTAATATGCACAAACAGAAACCTGGGGAATATGGGTGGGAATGGCTATTAAGGATGTGGGATAATGGGGCAAGGAACATAAAGATGGATCAGTCTGAGTTTATTGATATGGGCTCACTAAGCACAGAGTCTTCATTCAGTGTTTTAACTTGTGAGATTAGGAAAGGATCTAATAGTTTATTTTGTTGGGTCGCTGAAGCATGGATTACGCAGTGGGCTACACTAAATCAAGTTGAAATACCAGAACCAGACTTGTCATGGTAAACTGTAGAAGAAGGTATAATAAGG